CTTTGCATGTTAGGCCACACACCCCTAATGTAGCCAATCCTAATGAGTTGCTGCTGTTGGGTGTGGCCTGTTATGCTAATGAGTTCCTGCTGGGCGTGGCCAGCTCGGGAGCCAGCCGGAACTCCGTTCCTGTGCGTGCCTGCCCAAAAATAGCCCTGCCTGGGGTTATACTGTATGATGGCTGAGTATATTCCAGACCTAATTGGACACTGTTCCCCACCTTTCATAAACATTTTCAACAGTGCAAAACCCCCCTTTTTCATAATGTGTGAGTATGTCTTCCCAAAATGTTTGATTTGTTTCAATAGCCCTCACTCTTAGTTGCTCTCACTTGCCTGCAGTGATGCTATCACATTGGCAAGCAAATCTGATTGGCTATGTAGAGCTGCAACATCGTCCCATTCACTGCATAACGACTGGCTGGATGGGATCACAGACTCATCCATGAGATAGGAAACAGCAGCAGCCAGAGAGGGAAAAGGAGGTGCTGAAGTGGCATAAACCAGGAAAAAGCCAGGGCTATATTTGGGCAGGAACGCACAGGAACGGAGTTCCGGCTGGCTCCTGAGTTGGCCACACCCAGCAGGAACTCATTAGCATAATAGGCCACACCCAACAGCAGAAACTCATTAGGATTGGCTACATTAGGGGTGTGTGGCCTAACATGCAAAGAAGTTCCTGCTACAAAAAAGCCCTGGGTTTTGAGAATAAACAAAGTAAACAGAATAAGAAGCAAAAGTGGGTGTGGCTGGATGACCACACTTCTGGTAACATGGGGATGTGGCCTAATATGCTAATGAGTTTCTGCTGTTGGGTGTGGCCTATTATGCTAATGAGTTCCTGCTGGGCTTTTTCTACAAAAAAAGCCCTGGGGAAAACAATGTCATCACACAAGGTAGGGGAAATGGGAACATCTGCACATTTTAAGTGGCATTTGGGAAATAGAATGAGTGTCTACCTGAGTACTGAAGATACTGAATATTCCACAGATCACTCTTCTTTTTCAAAAACAGTTCCTGCCTCTCAGGGACTCAACAATGAGCTTGCAAGAGTCTGGGCAGTGCTTAATACAAAGGGGCCGAGTGGATTTGTCACTGGATAAGCAAGCAAGGTTTCAGTGCATTCCACCATTTCTTGCCCATAGGTCTTTGACATGAAAAGATCATGTAACAGTGCAATCCTAAACCAGCCTATTCATAATCCGACTGAAGTCTATTCAAATGGGGCATATTCCATGGAAAGTCTTCTTAGGTCCCGTCCACACGGGGGGATTTGGGCCAGTTGCGGGCCAGTTCGGGGCCGGATCAAACCGGCGCGATCACACCACAACATCTGGGAAGCGTCCTGCTTCCGTGCCCGAACTGGCCCTTCCTCGCCCTAATCCGGCGCAAATTGAACCACCTACCTTGGTGGTTCAACTTGTAGGCGCGCTTCAAGCCGGGCGTTTGATCGCCAGCGCTTCCTTGCGCCGGCTCAACCCCGGCCCGGAGCCAAACTGCGTATGCTCGGACATGCGCAGTTCGGCCGGCTCCCGTTCGGGCCGTTTTTTCTCCCCGGCGTTTGATCGCGCCGGGGAGAAAAGGTGCCGCGGCCAGGGGATCCGTGGGATCCCGCCGCGGCGCCTCAACGTTAAGAGGCTTTTCCCCTGTCGTGTGGCAGGGGCCTTAGAACTGCACTGTTTTGATCTGCATAAAAGTTGCAGTTTGGTTTTAGCTGGCACAGAATCCAGATTATTTCAGCAAAGAATTCTGCAGCGCATAGATTGCACTCATGAATCTGCACTGAAAGATAAGGCCCAAACCCCCAGCTTCTGAAAAACTAGGAATTCAAAACAGCTACAGTTGTGCTGGCTCCCGAGCATTTAGCAAGCCACTAAATCCCAACATAGACATCAATTTTAACACGAGCCATAGGAAATGTTTCAACTCAACTGAAAACAGGTTCATCATCCAAGGACACGATGTACATGCTTTCCCATAAGGTTAGAGAGAGAGAGAAAAATCTGCTTCTAAAAACATTTTTGAATTGAGTGACTCTTGCTGTTGGAGTAAATACCCTCTTTTAATGATTTGTAAAATAACAGGCAGTCCCAAGAACTCCACCCAGCAAGTTCCTCTGTGACTTGATACATAAAAGTCTTAATTGCAGGAGTTTTGCCATGCCCTCTGGAACCAAATGATGCCAACTCTGCCTCTGGTCATATATGTGCATGAATGGTGAAAGTACCCTACTGTAGTGTGTTTATTTATTGAATATAGAGGAGGTCCGATAAGTGGATGGTGGTTCAGGTCTGGGTAGAGTGAAGCCTCTGTCTCCCCAGGGGCTTCCAGGATGGATGGTTCTCCCTCCTAACCCCCAGGGCAATAAAAGAAGAGTGGAGCTAAAATGGAAACATCAACACATCCAAGAGAATGCCTCTCCTGTTATTATACAGTTTGTTCAGTGTGTGTCTGCCTTCCACTCAAGATTTGCATGAAGGAGGGGTAGCCAGTTTTTTAAAAGTGGAATGCCTGGAATTTAAGCCGCATTTCAGTCATGGAACAAAGCCGATGTATGGCTCCATCACAAAAAGAATGAAACCATCACATGGCTCACTTTCCTCCTGCCTTTCTGAGTTTGAAGTGTGCATTAGGATTGTCTCACCCCACCAGAATTTTTGAACCTTGCTTCCTCACCCTATGAAGCATAGCTGAGCTGCCTAGAACCTGCAACTCTCACCTGGATATATCGAGTTTCCCTTTCCTCTCTCTCTCTGTGTGTGTGTGTGTGTGTGTGTGAGTGTAGCATCTTGCTGAGCTACATAAAATTGTTTTTTTTAAGTGACATGAAACGACATGAATTAATGATGGGGTCATACAACAATCCTACCCCCACTGTGGACAAGAACACTGGTTTTCCAGTGACAGAGCCAAGACATAAATTTGACTGGCAGCTTGCTGTGCTACTTTCTTATTTTCTTAAGGGTCTGTGTGAGGAATTTGGTCAGTGAATTTCTGAGATGAAGAACACATTCCATTCCAATGTATTTGAAAAAGTGTGCCTTGCACATGAAAGCTCATACCTTGAATAAACCTTTGTTGGTCTTAAAGGTGCCACCGGACTCTAAATTTGTTCTACTACTTCAAACCAACATGGCTGCCCACCTGGATCTTTCTAAAATGAAGTGTGCTTTATTTATTTGACGTATTTCTAACACATATTTTTAGCTAGGCTACTTACTAGGATAGTCTCATCTCAGATACCTTTGGGCTTTCAGTGACTGACACCCTGCCAAAACCTGTTCCTGGACATTTGAAAAACTCTGATGTATTTCTTGCTTTAGTTTCTCTCAATGGGTAGGTGAATTATTACAAATGTATTAATTCAAGAACATCTGCCATGTGTTATCTACTTTCAAAATGAGAGGCGCTACGGCTCAGCTTTGTCTGGATCTTGTTTTTCCTCCTCTGAGAGGAAAGCGACCCTCTTGAAGGACTGTAAGAGAGGGACTGATTTTCCTCAATGGTCTGTCATTTCAGACAGAACCGTTTTAGAACCGGTTCCCTACCGGAATATATTTGTAATTTCAGACACAAACGCTTCTGTCCTGTTTAGGAAACGGGGCTGAAGCGTTTTACCTGTCAACCACTTCCAAGTAGTCTTCAGTTTCCTCTCCCGGTTCCGATGCACTTTTTCCCGTCATTTTTCGCCTGTGCGGGCGATCTCCAGCTTTTTTTTTTAACATTCACTTTATAGCGTTATAGCGCTATAATGTTATAAAGGAACAGCAGTGCATCAACCCCATTGGAATGCCTGGAGTGTTTTGTTATAATGCTATAGCGCTATAGTGCTCTAAAGCGAACGTTCAAAAAAAAAAAAAAGCTGGAAATCACCCGCACGGGTGAAAAAGGGTGTGGGGGGGAAATGGTGCAGTCTGAAATGGCAAACCACTTCAGATCCAGCTCTTCACCAGAAGGGGAAAGCCATGTGTGAAATGGCAGCCCTATACCGGTTTACTCCATGATGGATCAAAAACGGCTTCAAAACGGGTTAAAAAGGGTAATGTGAAATTCCTCGATGTTTCTCAGACTGTAGAACTTCCCATATGTTTAAGGCACTTTTTCTTCTTGTAGTGGTGTAGAAGTCCCAGTGTGGGTGCAACCAGTGAAGTGTAGTGGTTAGAGACTAGGATCTAGTTAGACCCAAATTCTAATCCCCACTCTGCTGCGGAAACTTGCTGAATGCCTTTTGGCCAGTCATTTTCTCTCAGACTAACATACCTCATGGGGTTGTAGGGTTGCCAGCCTCCAGGTGAGGCCTGGAGATCTCCCGCTTTTACATCTGATCTCCAGCTGACAGAGACCAGCTCCCCTGGAGAAAATGGCTGCTTTGAAGGGTGGACTCTATGGCATTCTATCATGCTGAGGCCCCTCCCCTCCCCAAACCCCGCCCTCTCCTGGCTCCACCCCCAAAGTCTCCAGGTATTTCCCAACCTAGAGCTGGCAACCCTGTGGGGTTGCTGCTGTGTAGATAAAATGAAAGGGTGATAATTACGTTGTACAATGCTGTGCTTTGGAGAGAAAAGCAGTATATAAATGTCTAAAATAAATAAAATGAGGTGTGTGTTAAAAATTGCATCACCATCAAAAATCACCAGCTACCACTGGTTACTGGAGCCTATGACTCCATTCAAATGTTGATACTCTGTACAGAGACCAGGAGGCTTTAGAAGTTGTAGCTGGAGGATTTACTGGTGCTATAAATAAAGCAATGTTCCATGAATGGATGGATGAATGAATGAACACAGCATGACTAGGGAGAGGTTGGTGACTTAAACAGCACTGTGTATTTAAAATCTGGAGATATGTACTGTAAACAAGGCAGAGGTCATCTGCAGGACAGCCAAAACCCAACACAGAGCACTTCAGGAATCAGTGGCTGCTTGGTCAATTCAAAGTTTACAGGGTACTTCATTGCTTGCGGAACTGGGGGCAGATAATCTGTTTTAATGTTTATTATAGCACCAATTACACTCTGCAAGTCACTAAGTGGCCCTCGTGGGCATTTTTTGAATTGCAAGAGTTATCAGTCCACTGTTTGCTTTTAGCCTTAATCCTGAGCAAATATGCAAAATCTCAGATGCTTCTGAATAAATGCTTTGTAAAGACTGAATATGAATGGACTCAAGCCCATGACTGCAGGTCTTGAACCACTGACTGGAGGGTTGACCAGCAGGATTCAGAATGTATCCTATGTGCCAGCACACCACCCGGCTCTGGCCAAAAGGGTAAGTACAAGAAGACAGCTGAGCCAGCCAAAGAAGGTTCCTTGCATCAACAGGCCAGATACTCCCTGACTCCTAGAAATGCTTCTGGGTAGGGCTGGCTGGCTGTTCTGAGCAACTAGGAGATCTGCTCCTGTTTCTTCCAACTACCTCTGTCGCACAGGAGCTGGACGTGACAATAAGAGCCTAGAAACTGAACTGTACTTCCTGACTCCAAGTCTGCAGTCTAAACGACATTTGGAACTTCTACACCGCTGTGACTTCACCACATTTAGATGGGTCTGCCAGCTGTTTTGAATTGTTCCTTGTGGCTGCTGCTTATCTGAGACAAAAAGGTTGTTTCCACATGGAGAACTTGCTCTGCATTGCTGCCCAACTGGCAGCAGATTTAATTCTGGGTTCCTCACAATGTCTTTGTGCTGGGTCCACCATACTTTTTCTTTGCAAACTGATTTAATTCTGGCAGATCATATCCAAAGCAGGTTTGGGAAAGTATGGAAGGAAAGGCTTGAAAAGTATGGAAGAAAAGATGTAAATTTCTTCACCTTTCTGCCTACATTTTGTGTTATTTTATCTCCTGCCCATGATCCCCCTCCCTCCTGGGCTCTTTGCCATTTTTAAAAAATTAGTAGTAGTGCTGTGGGTCAGCCAGGGCTCAATGATAGGGAGCACTCCTCAGAAGAGGACTCCTTAGGAGAAGAGAAGCCCTGTGTAGCCAGCCTTGAGTTAACAGGAGTAGCTGACCAGCAGGAAGATGAGTTGCAGGCTTGTCAGGATTCACAGCCAACAGATGGTGCAGAGCCACCAACACCCTCCTGCCCTGATTCAGCAGGTGAACCTCAGATGGCTATTCCCAGCCCACCAGTATCACCCACACCCTTAGAGCACTGCAGACGGAGGCTGAGAACAGAGCTACAGAGAAGACAGCTGCTTGCTGATAACAAAGATGAGTAGTTGCAGGACTGCTTCTGAGCACCTGGCTGCAAGCATGACCCTTAGGCATCCTTCCTTTATATATAAAAGCCAGTTGGGGTGGCAAGATTCGATGCGCACCAAAATCAGTTGGCTGCATGAACTGCCACTCCAAACCTCTCCCAATCCCCTGGCTGCATGGGGTAGCTGCGTGCCTGAGTCCTGCCCACACAGCCGCCAGCCAGACTCTTGCCCTCAGTCTACAGATGGCCGCCGAAGAGGATGGCCACAAGGTCTCCAGAGGCACTCCCCGCCACCCTTCCCCGCTCACCCGCCAATGTGGATGCATGGGGAAAGGCCTCCAGAGGCCTCCGCGCCACCCTTTCCCACTCGCCCGCCAAGGTGGACGCATGGGGAAAGGCCTCCACACCCTCCCCCCTCTTTCCCAGGCAGGGACAGGCTTCCAGAGGGCCCCCCGCCTTTCACCGCTTGCCGGCCGAGATGGGGAAGAGCTAGAGAGCCCCCTCTTCCCTGGCCCTCCCTCCCTCTTTCTCTTCCCACCATCTCTCGGTCTTCTCTCTCTCCTTCTTTCCCTCCCTCTTTCCCATCCTTCCTTTGCCTTCTGTCCCTCCCTCCCTC